TTTGCAGATATAATCAGGTAAGATGAGTCACACTAAATCTGGGCCCTCACCCACTGACAGGTGCCCCTCTAAGAAGGCCACACAGGGTAGGAGGCATGTGAAGACAGAGGCAGAGACTGAACAAGCCCAGGAACACCACAGGCCACCGGCAACCACCCGAAACTAGAAGGGAGGCCCCCTCTGAGTCCCCAAGAAGGAACCTGCCTGCTGACACCTTGATTTCTGGCTCCTGGCTTCCAGAACTATGAGAGAATATAAATTTCTATTGTTTCATGCTACTAAGTTTGTGGTAATCTGTTACAGCAGTCCTAGGAAACTCATACAAAGAGAAGCAGGGACGAAATTATGATGCCCTTGGCTTCCCACATTATACACAATGGGAAGCCACTGCTGGAGGGCGTGATGAAAATTTCTTTTAGAACGATTACTACAGCAGTGGAAAAGGGAACACGCTGGAGAGGAGCAGATGCGGTAGGAGGCTGCTGCAGCAGAGGCGGGAGGCGATCAGCCTGAAACTGAGGCAGCAGCAGTGGGGACAGGGAAGACAGATTTGAGTGCTGTCGAGGGGCAACACCCCTGGCAGTGCCGACTTGGAGGCAAGGGATGGAGAAGGGGAGGAGCTGAGGTGGATTCTGGGTGTCTAGGCTATGCCAGGGTAAGGATGGTGATCCCATCAGTTGAAATAAAGAAATAAAGAGAAACAGATTCAGAACAGGGGGGAGTGAGGTGGGAGACAGAGACCTAAGATGAGAAACTTTGCACACAAGGTACCTGTAGTCAAGACCAGACTGGTGGAGATGTATAAAAGATAACTGAACGTAGAGGAAGAAAACCTGGCTGGCCTTACAATTCAGGATGGTTAGGGGCTTCAGCGAGGCTCAGATTATCCAAGGACAATGTGTAGAAGGAGACAAGAGGACCAGGTAGGGATGCGAGACCCTCACATGTAAGGGTCCTACAAAAAGAGAATCTTGGAAGAAATGGGAGGGAATGGTCAGAAAGCAGGAAGCAGGTAAACCAAAAACACATTGCATTAAGGAAATGATACAAAAAGACACATGAAAGATGCTTGTTCATGGCTGTGTGTGGTTTGTACAGTAACCAATGTAACGATAATCCTAAATATGGAAAGTCAAGAGGGTAGGGCTACTCAGAAAAGCTAACGTATTCCATTAGCAGCTTACAGATGACAGAGAAGAAAGGTAGTAGGCCATTCTAGTCTGGACTCAAGAGAAGTCAAGGTGGCAGGCTTCATGATTCATGACATTCTGGGAGTGACCAAACATGAGAGACACAGAGAAGAGAAGATAGTAAAGTATTTGCATGTTGAAGAGGAAAACGACCCCTGTCAACAGAAGTAGGCCCAAATTACCATGAAGCAAGGAAAAACTTGCCTGAAACCCTGTATGAAAATGGAACGAACTGTCTGTGAGGCAGGAGTTCCCTTCCAGCAGATCACCTGGGAGGGCTTTCGAACTCTAGATCAGGGTGGGCAAACTTTCCTGCAAAGGGTCAGACGGTAAATGTTGCGAGTCGTACAGCCTCTATTGCAACTACTCAACTCTGTTACAGTATAAAAGCAGACACGGGTAATGTGTAGATGAGTGGGCAGGGCTGTGTTACAATAAAGCTATTTGCAGCCATGGGATGGGCTAGATTTGGCTGTGGCATGTATGTCCTAGTTTGTCAACCTGTGCTCTGGATCCCTGCTTCTCAAAGAGTGGTCCGCATACCAAAAACTTTAGTATTACCTGGGAACTTGTGGGAAGAACAGAATGCAGGCTCCCATCAGACCTACTGAATCTACATCTACAAGATCCCTGGGTGATTTGCATGCACATAGAATTGGGGAAACACTGGTCTGGATGGATGAGTGGAGCCCACACTGGAGCCCAAGCTGGACCAGCAGCATCAGAATCTGCTGGGAAGCTGATAAAAACCATACTGCTGGCCTTCACCCCACAGGTGCCAACCTAGTGGTCTGGCTGGGGCTCAGGGTTTGTATTTTCACAAGCCTCCCTGGGTAATGCTAAGGTTTGAGGTGGGGAGCCTCAGAGGACCCCTCCAAGCTAAGTCTTTGAGAACCCACTTGAGAGATAGTCACTCTGTGAATTCTATTTTCTTGTTCTTGCTGGTTTTTTTGTTTTGTTTTGTTTTTCAGTCCAAACTCTGCTTTTCTGTTTCAGAAAGAAATCTTGCCTAACAGTTGCCCACATCATGATCTTAAACAAAGAAAACGCAACGGTCAAAAAAAAGGCCGGTTATCAAACAGTCTTAGGGCGCCACCTGCCGGTCCCCTTGAATGCACACATAGGTTCTAAAGACTTCCCTCGACGTACGAAGAGGCCAGGAGAACTAAATGGAGTGGCACAGAAATGGAGGAGGTAGGTGGGGAGAAGCTACAGCATTAATTACACCAGTGCCGTGAACTCTACACTTATATTCATTCAGTGTTACACTGAGTAATTTCTTTGGGGGAGATTTGGGTCTCATGGTTGTAAGTCAGAACTAAACTAAGCAGTGTTATATAAGCCCTGTGCCTCTACTTCCCTCATCCACAGCGCTAAGAATGCTGGAGAACTAAGTCTGGGACATACACGCTACCTCACTCCTCTCCTGCCCTCCACATACGTGTTCTGAGCCCCCACTAGGGACTATGCACTGTCCCGGGATGAACTGATGAATGCAGCCTGGGCATGGTCTCTGCATGGAGCTTACAGCCTTAGAAATAAAGAATCAAGTAGAAGGAAGGCAAGTAATTGCCATACCCCAGGAGGTTCCAGGAAACCACAGGCTGACCTGGGCACGGCCAAGCCACACAGGGTGAGGTGCAGCAGATGTTTTGCTCAGCTAGTGCCCAATTTTTAGGTCTGACTGTCATGGGCAGGGTGCACAGTCCAGTGTCCACTGTCTTATTCCTGGAGGCTCCATGTTGACATACCTGTTCCTTAAAATGATTTGACTTGGCAATGACCCCCAGTCTAGAGGTCCAGAGGAAGCTTCTAGGTGGAAATGACATTGAAGCTGAAACCAGAATACCTTAGCAATTAGCCAGACTGAGGGTGGGGAGCGGTGTCTTCAAAGCAGGGTGTGTGTGAAAGAGCCAAGAAACGTGAGACCTGCGGGAAGTCAGGGTCCCCGGGGGCAGAGGGGCTCATTGGGGTGGGTCTAGAGGTGAGGCCAGGGTGCTCCCGGGGCCAGAGGGAGAGTAAGCCTTGTCAGCCACAGTAGGTCATTTCTCAAAAGAAATGGAGACGTTTCCTAGGGACACTGGAGAGTTTTGTTTAGGGAAATAACAGCCGGAGAGGCCCCAAAGACCACCTGTGATTATGTGGAAGTGGGTAGACATTGTGTAGAAGTGAAAGCAACAAGCTATTCAAGAAAGCAGAAGTGACAGGACTTGGTGACTAAGAAGATGTGAGTGTGAAAGAGAAAAAGTCAGACTGGCTCTGAGATCTTGGGCTAATGTAACAGGGTAGGGATTGATGTCAGCTACTGAGTCAGAATCACGGCAGGGACAGGCAGGGAAAGAGTTCGGCTTGGAACACGTGCTGGAGCCATATGCTAGACCTCTGAGTGTTCAAATTCAGGATACGGCTGGGGGAGTATGGACCTGGAGCTCAGGAGGGCAGGCTGCGCTGGAGATAAAGACCAGGCTCTTAATGGCACATGGGAGGCAGCTGAACCAAGGGAGTGGGTGAGATGACCCAGTAGCGTGAGAGAAGGACGGGCCTAGGACAGAGCCCGGAGGAGCCCCAGCTTCTCAGGAATGGACAAACGAGGAAGGGTTTGCCAAGGAGACTTTGCCCCGAGAGTCGAGCACGCATCTGCAGGAGGGTGTGGCTCACAGGACTGGCTGTCAGAGAGAAGCCATGCAAAGCCAGTGAGGCCCCAGGTGACGCTGAGGCTGAGAGTCAAAGAGAAAAGCCCAGCCCAGAAGGAGAAAGGCATTCCCCTGGAGGCCGTGCTCCGCCTGGCGGCACGCAGTGCGTACACATGACGGGAACAGGCCTGAGGCACACCGAAGAGGTTCTGACATTGTTTTTAGAGAGAAGTATGCTGACTGTGTTTGGCAACAGGTCAAGGCAGGAGTGGGTTAAAGAAACTTCAGCCTTTGGCTCTTCGGAACCTAAGATACCACACTTTCCTCATGAGAGGATAGTACCAGAAGATACGCAAGGATTTTACTTGCTTTCTTAATGGACAAAAGAACCAGTGGTTGAGAATAATGAGAGGCTGAAACAAAGTCCTACTTTCATAAGCACAGGGAAGACTCAATGGAACCACTTCATCACGCAGAGAATGTTCTTCTGCATAGACTTGTGCACTCTGGCCCGAGCCCCTCACTGTCCAGCCTCTGTGCACCCCCACCTCTGCCACTTCCCTAACCACAGGGCTCCTGACCCGCACCTCCTCTCTGTGGGACACTGGTGTCACCTGTGTCACATCTCCCCTTCCCTTGCAGTATCTGGACCCATCAGAAAGCAAAGGAATCTATTCCAAAAGCTGGGCTGCAGCCACATCCCCAGAAGGAGTCCTCACTACATAATGACGCGATGCCTAGACACAACGGAACCCTCTGTTGGTCCATACTTGTCCCAAGAGCCCCTCTGTGTGGTGCAGAAGGCACTGACCAGAGCTGTGTCTGAGCCCCAGCTCTGCCACCATCTCCTAGTGCTCATTCGGGCCATCACAATGCACTGAGAACCTGCTACAGGCCAGACACTCCGCTGGGCAGCAAGGAAAGAACAGTAGCTAAGACACACAAAGCACCTGCCATTATACAGCTAAAATCCACAGGCTGCCTAGGTTTCTCCATCAGCTACATGAAGGTGCTGGACCAAGTAATCTCTGAGGTTCCTTTGGACTTTAAGGGACTGTGGTTGTAAGGTCTGAGTTATGGCCCTCGTTGGCCATGTGGATCTGTGTGGCCATGGACTGAGCCTCAGTTCCCACATCTATAGAGCAAACAGGTGAGATTTGAAAATGTCCCCAGTTACCTTATGCAGCCACAGTGGAAGGTTTCCAGAATCTCCCTTCAAGGAGTCCCTCTGCTGGACGGCAGCCCAACAGTAAGAATCCACAAAGGCAGCCTGACGCCAGGAGAAAGAACTTGGGGAGAAACAGCTTATTTGTGTACCTGAGAAGCAAAAACAGATAAATAAATGAAAGTGCAGTATCTGGACCCTTCCCACCCACCCACCTCTCCTTTTGCCTCAGGTTCGCAAGTGTTAGCTCAGTCCTGGAGCCGCACGACAGCACAGGGCAGCACAAAACCAAACACCCAAGTTCATACTAAAGCTGAGCATCCGAGAGGTTTTTGGTAACACTAGTCACAACAGCGGCTTGGGCTAGGTTGGGCAAATTTCAGAAAGAAGCGAAACCACTATAAAAGGGAAAAGTGAGCAGGAGGAGAACTTGGGCCAAACCATACCAGGGGACATGTCAGCGTGGGTTTAGTTTGGGGTGAGGACTCAGAGAAGGGAGGGGGATCACAGGGCAAGCGGTGGGAGGAAGGGGGTCCACCAGGAAACTGGACTAACGAGGAGTCTTCAAGTCCAAAGAACAAAGGAACACAGGGCTTCTAGACCAAAGAAGAGAGGCTGAGGGAATGTTTGGTGACAGATCACTGGATGGGCTGCATGGCCAGTCAGCAGTTTCTATCTCCCCCCCAAAAAAGAAGTGACAGGCTGAAGCTGCGGCCCAAGCAGTTACATCTGGAAGGCAGGTATGCAAGACTGTGGACTTCCAGACAGGCAGATGGGCCCTGGGAGTCCTGAGTCCCACTCCCCTGTCCCCACTGAGCACGTATGTACAGGAACGTGCGCGTCACAGGCCTGCTGAGGCTGCAAGCCGGCACATTCTCTCTCCCATCTTATGCAGTGTGAAGAGAGTGCTAAGTGCTCTGGGCTCTGACGTTAGTTCTGCTTAACTCTGCCACTCGGAGCTGCGTGGGGTGACCTCAGGTCGCTTAACCATCCAAAGCCAGGAATCTCCAAAAAGGTGATGCCACTAATGTCTACATCCTTTGCTAGTGCCTGGTTCCCAGGAGTTACTCAGGAAGTATTACATTTTTCCATACAAAGTAATGAGCAGCTTCTGTTACAGCTTTAAAGACTGAGGTATGCCCACCGTTGTCTCTTCCCACCCTGTGGAGAGGGGACAGAGATGGTAGCATGACACCAAGCTGGACTTCCTTAGACCCTGAGACATAAGAACCTCAAAGGCAGCCTTCCCCTGGGGAGGGGATGGTCTTTATAGTTGTGGCAGGAGGGGACCGTGAGGGGGATGTTATCCAGAGAGGAAGTTCTTGGGGGTGGGGGAGGGGATAGGTGCATGCAGTGGGCAAGGCCCTGAGCAGCCCCTCGTCTCATCTGGTGCCCACAGACATCAAGAAAGTACTGCTCAGCAAGAGCCCTTGGAGTCATTGTGAAAATCACACACCATCAGAAAGTAGCCCGCAGCAGGGTCAGTTCATGCTAGCGAGGAATGGCTTAAATATGGTTTGGGTAGGTACGGTATTCCAAGGTCCTTTCCAGCTCTTATCCCATTAAACCTGAGTTCTTACGTTTTATAAAAATAGAGTAGTCAGGAAAACACAGGACTGCAGGGCTAATGTCACATTTACTCTGACATCAGCATGACTTTGTAAAACGCTTCCTAGTTGGTCCCACCCACCAAGGCTTACTGAGCATAACAACAGACACGCAGACCGACAAGCAGGTCCCAGGTTATAAATGGACGGTTTCTGGCAATTTCTTGTTTGGCAACGTCTGCCCAAAGACTCTCTCGTGAAAATGGATAATGCCGTTAGATTTCATGAAAACCTGTCTGGCCCCTATGCCTGGTAGTGCGTGTAGCCAGTGTATAGTAACATGCTTCTTAAAGGAAAATGTGCTTCAAGTTCTGTCTTGGGACCTCCCCTAAGGCAGTGTGGAAGCTGTTGGAGCATAAATAACTAACCTCTTTATATGAAAACTTTTGCAGAAGAGGAAGAATGGTTGTATACCTGAGTCTAGAGAGACGGAGATTGAGGACATGCTGAGCTCATAAGTAAATGTTCTTCATCTAGAATGGAAGGTCAAGAGAAATCTTATGTTCATTTTATCCTGGAGGAAACTGAAGCTCAACGTAGTTCATTGACTCCCCCACCCAAGCTAGTAAATGTAGCACCAGAATTCGAATCTGTGCCCAACTGTCCATCTCTGGGAACATTCCTGGCTCGGTCAGGCACTCCAGCGAGGTCGCCCTGGAGGAGGCCTGCTGCAGGCTCTGGTTCTGCTGGGGGTGATGTGAACAAGCTGTTCTCCACGTGACCAGGAGGAGCAGAGCTTCCTGGGAAGAGTCAAGGACGAACCCGGGGAAAGAACTAGATCAAGCCCCCGTTATTAGGTGTTCTCAGGCCAGAAATGGGAAACAAAGCGGGTCAAGAGCCAGGCAGGGGCAGGAGCCAAAATGGGTTGAAGGGCATGTGTAAAAACAGGAGCAAAATCAGTGCATGAAATAAGCAAAGGGGGAAATAAATTAGCATGTTTGATGTCTTGATCTGGGTGATAGTCACATGAGTGTACACACATGTCAAAATTCATCAAGCTATACACTACATTTTTTAGTATATACCTCAATAAAAAGAAAGAAGAGCAAACTAAGAGGGTGCAGAGGGGATGGCAGGGGCTGGGCTGTGCAGCCCTGCACCTTCACCCAGGCCCCAGTAGCTCAGCCTTGGCTTAAAGGCGCCCTGTCGGGGTGCTCAGCTATATGACCTCACTTACGTGCTGCATCTAATACAAATGAACTCACAGAAACAGAGAAGAGTTTGGTGGTTACCAGAGGTGGGGTGCACGGGGTATGGGAAATGCGTGAAGGTAGTCTTAAGGTATAAACTTCCAGTTATAAGTAAGTCCTGGGGATATGATTACAGCATAATGACTATAGTTAACAATACTGTATTGTATATCTGAAAGCTGCTTATAAGCAAGTAGATCTTAAAAGTTCTCCCTGCAAGAAAAAAAATGAACTATGTGAAGTGATGGATGTCAGCTAAATTTGTGTGAAAATCATATCACAATAGAGCTGACCCTTGAACAGTGCAGGGGTTAGGGGCCCTGGCCCCTGGCACATTGAAAGTCTACATGTAACTTCTAACTCCTCCAAAATTTAATACAAATATAGCCTACTGTTGACTGGAAGACTTACTGATAACATAAATAGCTAATTAACACAAATTTTGTGTTATTTACATTATATACTACATACTTACAATAAAGTAAGCCAGAGAAAACAATGATTTTTCAATTTGCTGCAAATCTCCAACAATTTTTCCAATATATTTATTTTAAAAATCCATCTATAAGTGGACCTGTGCAGTTCAAACCCACGTTGTTCAAAAGTCAACTATGTATACATATATTAAATAATTACATTGCATATCTTAAACATAGTGTTATATGTCAACTATAGCTCAATAAAATGAAAAAAATTTGCATGCATAAAATACAGTATCACTATAAAAAAAAGAATATTACAATGAAATCCCATATAACCTGGCATTTAGATTCAACCACTGTCAACATTCTGCCATGTCCTCTGTATTTATGTAGATATAATACTTTTTTTTTCCTGAACCACGTGAGATCATGAACATTTCCTCTCATAAATGTCTCTTCAAAGAACAAGAGATTTCTTATATAACCTAAATTACCAATTAAGTGGAATTACCAAATTAAAAAATAACTGATACAATACAGATTCTGTATTTGAGTATTTCCCAAATATGTGAATAGCATGGGCCCTCCATTTTGTGCAACGCCCCTCAATTTGTATTCATCTGATTGTTTCTCCAGGCTCAGTCAAGTTTCTGCATTAGTGGCAGGAATCCCACAGGAGGACTGTGGATCCTGCACAGAACACCAGGGATGCACCTGACAACCGTTTTCCCCATGACAGGGGACATACGTCACCTATAGTAGACACTCGACTAAGGTGCTGTCTGCCAGGGCTCTACAGTCAAAGTGCCTTTTTCCCTGAGAAACTAGAGGTCTGTGGGGAGACGCACTGAGACTGGGTAAGTACTCTGCTCCCCAACAAACTTTTACCCAGTCCTGAATCGAATACTTCATCTGTGGTTGCAAAATGAAGATTTTCCAACTTTATCCTTCCTTTACATTTATTAATTGGCAATTCTGTATAGAAAGGAACTTCCCCTTCCCCATTTACTTGTTTTTCAGTATTGGTATGGACTCATGTAACCTCTTGTCTCCCAGTATTTTACAGTTCACTACTGTTACTCATTTTGACGCTCAGACTCTTTCAGTCAAACTAGCTCTTGTGTTTCTTTGACACGCTCCTGTCTGAGCACTTCCACACTTCCTGGCACAAGATATTCTGGGCTTATCTTGTGCTTTCCCTGCCCCTTCTCCAAGGAGCTCTTGGTTTCTTTTAGTGGATAATAAAGTTTTAAAACCAAGAGTTGGACGCTCATAGCTGCTGGGATGGCATTGCTCCTAGGCCCCTTCAGCAGACGCAGCCGGGAAATTGGCGTGTGTGTGTGTGTGTGTGTGTGAGTTTATATAAGACTTCTAATTCCAGTCTAACACCAATGGGTTCCTCCGTGCCTTCCCCAGTCCATGCCTGTATTTTTTTTCTTTTATAGTGAGACCCCTACCTCCCAAATATATCAATATAGTGATTCATTTGCTCAATCCTAAAAATGACATTAAATAATTTTAGAACTTTTAAAGCAATCTTTTTAAATTAAAAAATTTTTATTTTATCGAATGTACATCACAGTGGTTCAATAGTCACCCTCCCCCTTGGTAACCACTAGTCACTTCCCAGTGTCTATGAGTCTAATACTGTTTAAGCAAAGATATCTTTTGATTTTCATTTGAAAAGGTTCACTCTAGATACTATGTCAATAACTGGTCATTGAGGATCAAGAATAGAAGGAGAGGTCAGTCAGGAATCTATTACATAGTCCAGATAAGAGGAAGCATGAAGACTAGTCACAGCACATGTCTCCTGGAGTCTCCTGCAAAACCTCTAAGTACACCCTGGACCAGGACAGACGCTTTGGTTCCATGAAATGAATATTAATGCAAAAGGTCAGGTGGACGGTCTTGCTATAATTCTATTTATATG